CTTCACGTCGACACTGCAAGCCCCAAGCTCCAGAAACGGGCTTGCATAATGCTGGCCCTCGATCTGGTTGAAGACACTGGGCTGTGTCTCGTCGCTCGCCTGCTGAACGACGAGACACGCACCGAGGCTACGGCCTCACGGCCCACAATACTGACAGACAACATCTATGGGTACCATCAGCCTGAGTAAGCTACGCCATGCAGGACCAGCGCAGCTCCCAGCTCCAGGCAGGGAATCAGGTCGTCCCCTTGGAACCCAGGCGAAAATCCCGAAAACCCGACCTGCAACTTCAGTAGCAGCAAGCAACAGGCAACAAACAACTAGAGGTCCCAGTGGCGATGCAGACGACAGCTCCCTACGTTTCAGGACCTGTCAACTGGTCCCACGCACTTCCACTCCGGGAATGGATCCACCAGGTACCAGACAAGTAATGGCTGACCTCGGCCCACCCGGGATCTGCCTCGCCGGTGTTTACCACACCATCGGGGACGAAACAGAAGTGACCTGACTACAAGTAGAGGAAGAAACAAGCAAACCCTGGGGGGCCCACCCAGGGAGGGATTCACCACTGTGAGGGTGTGGGACAGGACGGTCAGGGGTCTCGCCGACACTCACGTACGGAGGGCGAACTCTTGTCCGTGGACCCTGCCCTACACGCCATCCAAAGCGATGACACCCCAAGCAGTGGACCGGCTTTGATCCCGGCCGGGAAGGGCGGAAACTCAGATGGAACTAGAAAAATCCATCTGGACCACGACAGAAAATGAGACTCTACAGAGGAAACTCAGATGGGACTAGAAAAATCCATCTGGAATGCGTCAGGAACTGCCGCTCCACACAGAAGTTCAAGTGGAGGAAGTGAGGCACGCGACACACCGCGGCAGACCCCAGGACGGGACAGGAAACGCCAACCACCACATCTACTGCGTCGTCCACCCTGATGCTGGACACCGATTGGTGGAGGTGGTGACGGACCACCCGCCACCCGGGATCTCGACGAATGCTGACGAGTTTTTGTTTTTGCCATTGTATCTTGTTAATAATTTTTGCTGCCTTTTTAGTATGTACAAATATTTCTTTTTGTTCACAAGTTGTATTTTTCCCCAACTTCCCCCCCCCCTTTTTTTAGCGGCCATGTATCTTATTATTATATGTTGTATGTGCTGCCCTGCGCAAGAGTTTAACAGTTGAAGCAACAAGTATGTAAATCTATTCCAGGCTTGAAGATACTGGAACCTAAGCAGAAATAAGCCAGGGCAAGCAACACCATTGCATAACCTTTCAAACCTCCGACTGTGTACCCTCATCTAACTCCCTAAAGTGACGCTCTCCGACAAGCTCCTGCTAAGGCGCTCTCTCTCTCCTTCATATCTACATTCACCTTTCCGTTTCCGTATCCTTAGACAGCCGCTTAGATATTATAAATATTACCAGACTATGGTAGGATGTGAGGTGCATACTTTACACCGCAGTAGCTATTTTTCTCAGGTTGGGCACTCGCTATTGTTATCCACTGTGAACAATTGTGTATGGCATGGAAGCTTTGGTCTTGGCGGGAGGTGTAGTGAGGGGTTGTCAGACCACAGCTTACATCGCGAGGAAAGCCAGACTTGTCCCGACATTAGCCCAGGTCAAGTATAGGGTAACTCTGCGGTTGACCGGGATTGTAAATCAGCCTAGCTCCCCTCCCATGTGACATGTGGCCCCAACAAAACATGTAAGAAGGCACCAGCTGACCCTCTTCCAATATACAATAACCTACTCTCTGAACAAAGGCCGGACCTGACCTCACAATTAGCCAGGTCACTTGTAACCCTTGGAGCCCAACTCAAGGCCTCTCGTGTTACACGGCCCCGCCTGACGACTTCTCCTTACATCTCAGAAACTCCAGTCTGACCCGACGTTTGGGAAGTCAAGTGTAGGGGAACTCTCACGGTTGCTCTCCCAATATACACACGGCCCCGCCTGATGACTTTCCCAGCTAGTTCTGAAAAGGTCCAGGCCTGACCACACATTTGCGGGGTCAAATGTAAGGAGACCCTTCGCCGCCCCCCCCCTCCCGGCCAGCTGAACCTGACGGCTCGCATCCCAATATATAGGACGTCCTGGTCCTCCCTCGGCGATTGGCAGAGAAGCAGTTGTCTTGTAACTAGTGAGGGCCAGCTACCACGTCCCCGGTCCCGCTCGAGAGAAGCCCACCACTAAGTGTAACGAAGTCTCAGCTGGGTCCATCGACAAAGTGCTGTCAACTCCACGTGTAACAGTAAGTGCTGGCTGTGTAGACTGTAGAAGTGCAGTGATCCCGAACCTCCCCAACGATCGACTTAGTGAAGTGCCCATTTTAATTGTGAGGTTAGGTTATACGAGAATACCATAGTCTATCATAAATTGTGTACGAACCCCCCCTATTAATCCCCCCTATTGAACTAGTAAAATAAAGCTGTAACACGCATTGGTGTTTTATATACTACACTTGTACTGTGCCTGTGTTAATATACAGTGTTGACATCATACCCTCGAGACACGCTACCATTTCCTCTCGCTATAATACTCTACTACTATAAACTCCTAACTTACCTCTTCATGTGAGATTTTGTCTCATTACAACAGGTTCCCTTGCCGGATCGACCGTATCGCTAAGTCCCGCCTCCCGTTCAAAGAACGGAGTGCATGAGGGGGATGAAAAAAGGAAAGAAGAGGACTTAGAGAGTAGAAACAGCCTACCTACCACGCCACGTTCGGTTAGCCAATCAGAGCACCGCAGTAAACGTGCATGTATCACGCCACCGTGGGGCACCACTGATTGGCCAATCCAGGACGTAGACGCACGGGTAGTAGTCAAAATTTGGGGAGCCCAAATATTTGTTTTTTCCAAAAGTTGGAATTTCCCGTACAATCTGTGATGGTAATTACACCGTCACTATGTTGAGTAAGTACAATCACTAGGATTGAGTGTCTTATCACAACAAAGTTGCAGACTGCTCAAACATGCAGCAAAAGAGGCAGGTCTTCGCAGCTCCGGGTCCAGCAGTCTCAATGTCTTGTAGCTGTTGTTGTTGTATAGATTGTCGGACCGTAGTCCGACACGGGCCTTTGCCTATAGGCGGCCCGTTTGGTGGTTCCGGCTGGAGCTCCAGGAGCAGCCAGACCGGATTGGGATTGGAGGTGGTCCCACCTGCAGATTGGAGGGATACTGCAGGTTGCAAGTGTGAGCGGACCCCCGATCAGTGGACGCTTACCACCAGCCCCCACTCTTGGACGTGGTCAGCTTCGGAGTGGCGCGCCCCCCGAACTGGGGTCCGCACTTGCTGGGAGAGGATGCTTTCTAAGCTATCTGGGTGGTGGGTATCGTGTGATGACCCGGAGTAGGTGGTGAATGTGGTCTGTATGGGCCTTTCGGGTTAGAGTGGCCGCTGGTGTTGTGTGTGTTTCTTGGGAGATTTGAGTTCTGTTTCGGAGGCTTTGTGTGACCTCGCAATCGAGGAGATAGTGTTCAAGTGGGTTGGCTGCTGGCTCCTGACAGTAGGTGTTCCATGACGTTTTCCGATCATCTGCCAGGAGCACTTGTACCCTAGTCGTAGTCGATGAAGGCTGACTTGGGTTTGTCTTGGAGTTTTCTTGTCAGCGAAAGGTGGTTCCCCTTTTGTGGCCGCCAGGTACCATTTGGCTGATTGGGAACCAGCGTTGAGTGCATGAAGGAAGCTCTTTTTGATGTGGAGCTTGGTAGTCTTTCTGAGGTGATTCTTGATCTGTTGCACACTTGCTGGAACTTGGATGTGTACGCTACTAGAACGTGTAGCTGCCTTGGCTGCTTCGTCTGCCACGTCGTTTCCTCCGATCCCTACATGACTGGGAATCCAGTGTAAGACGAGTGGTCGGTTTTGGCTTTGGAATTCCTGTAGCTGTGCGAGGATCGAGGTGATGTGGACGTTGTCTCTTGGTTGACTGTGTGCAGTACGAGTCAAGCAGGTGACAGCCGGTCTCCTCGCCAAAATCTGTAGAGCAGACAAGCCCACAGTTGCCAAGATTCGAATCAGTGCCTCCCTCCACCTCGACCACAGAGTGCGAGGGGCCACCTGGTCGCACGAGGCAAGCGAGGTCATCCGACACCTGCAAGCAGAAACACTCGTCAAGAACAACCAAGACACACGAGACAATGGTTACGCTGTTCCTCCACCATGGAGCCCTCCACCAGCCACACTCAAATTTACCGACCTAGGCGATAGTAAAGCCAACCTCCAGAAGGAGGACCTCAAAAAAATAACTCTCGAAGCCATAGCCACCGAGACACCGGCTGATGCAGCATCATACTTCACAGACGGCTCGGTGGACCCAAAACATCATAGATCCGGAGCGGCCTTCTACACCCAAGGTCAGACCCTCCAATGGAGACTTTCCAACGACTGCTCCACCCTACAAACAGAGCTGGTAGCAATCTCAAAGGCCCTACAACACGCTGCAACACAACACAACAAGTCCGTCATAATTCACACGGACTCGAAATCGGCCATGCAGGCGCTGCAACACAGTCTTGTAGCTAAGCCTACGCGTATTTATACGGTTGGTCAGGATCAGGGAAGTGAGGTGTGAAATGTGTTGGGCCACTCACCGTGCAGTTCGTAGGAGAGGCCTGGTGTGCTGAACTCGTCTCTGCTTGGGAAGGTCAGAAATCAGTGAGCAGTAGTACTCCTGCATCCGCACCTGAGACCAAGTCTTGATGTCGCTGGGGCTTCTACTCATCTTCCCCGTTCTGCCTTTCGATACCAACAACTTTTGGAGCTTCTAAACTTGGAAAAGCTTCTACTACCTGTAAGCTGATTGGCTGGTAAGCGAACGGCAGGTGATCAGTCGGCAGTTGTGTAGGGGAGAGTATCCACTACAGTGTAAATAAGCCTTCACTATATAATGGTATTCTCCTATCCTAAATTATTTTCAGGTTTTTATTACTAATTATATGGAAATGACACGCTCAGTCAGACGACTTGAGTCATCACATTTATTCCTGATAATTTTATCAAAATATTGATCGTTATTTCCTGCATATTTTAAAACATGTTTGGATAAAATTACTCATTAGCAACATAAACTTTACCACAACAAGATACTTTAAAATCTGTAAAATATTTTATAATCTCAATTTGCCTTAAGCTTCCTCCAAATGATTCAAGGTAAAACATCCAATGGCATCACATAATAGTAACAGAAATTTAGCGAAACCAACAACAAACCTGAAATATCTACAACAATTCTGTGTGTACTAAGGGTAGCAGACTGAACACGTACCTGCACTAATATTATACCACTAATAAAACATTTTTCTCTTCGTGTGTTTAATAAAGCTTTTGTTGTCTACATGGCTGTTCATCTTACGAGAGAATTATTATACAGTGTTGTCGTCCTAAGATCTCTAACACTCCATGAAAGTACTCAGTAAATGTTGGTTTACTCTTACACATCTTTGTCCTTGTCCTCGACTCTGTTATCTTCACTATATTAACAACTTCAGGTATCAGCCGCACACCTTTCACCTCCCCTACGTTGACTCTCTGTTGATCACATTTCCCGAGACAAAACTTGTGCTGAAGACATCGACCATCGTGTTGACTCTTGAGAACTTTCTTGCGTGAGATCTGTTGAACATTCCATATTTTTGTTTATGTTTTGTATAGCAACTTATTTATATCATGACAATCTGAAAGTTATTGAATTTGAATATTAAACAAATAAAAATAACTATAAAGACAATCATAGTGTGATATCATTATACATTATCGTATTAATATAGTTCACATACAGCATATTACGGATAACTATGAGACAATAGTCTGAATTATAAACATACTCTATAGCTGTAAAGGCAAAATACATAAGGACAAAAGCGTGCTGTTGTTATATTATAAATATCAATGATCAAATTCCATAAAACTCGTGAATAAAAAATAAAAGTGAATATTATCCTCAGTAAGTGATCCTTCACCGTGTTAACACAACAACATAACGACGTTGTTACTGTCAACTTTAATAGACGATTTTTGGCCTAGTTTTGAGTGTAGATGTTTACCAAACTTACGAGTGTTAGGTGTAGAGGAGGAAGGTTTAACAACTCACGAGTGTCAGGTGTAGAGGAGGAAGGTTTAACAACTCACGAGTGTCAGGTGTGGAGGAAGAAGGTTTAACAACTCACGAGTGTCAGGTGTGGAGGAGGAAGGTTTAACAACTCACGTGTGTCAGGTGTGGAGGAGGAAGGTTTAACAACTCAAGAGTGTCAGGTGTAGAGGAGGAAGGGTTAACAACTCACGAGTGTCAGTTGTAGAGGAGGAAGGTTTAACAACTCACGAGTGTCAGGTGTAGAGGAGGAAGGTTTAACAACTCACGAGTGTCAGGTGTGGAGGAGGAAGGTTTAACAACTCACGAGTGTCAGGTGTGGAGGAGGAAGGTTTAACAACTTGTCAGGTGTAGAGGAGGAGGTTTAACAATTCTGAGTGTCAGGTGTGGAGGAAGAAGGTTTAACAACTCACGAGTGTCAGGTGTGGAGAGGAAGAGTTTAACAACTCACGAGTGTCAGGTGTAGAGGAGGAAGGTTTAACAACTCACGAGTGTCAGGTGTGTGGAGAGGAAGGTTTAACAACTCACGAGTGTCAGGTGTAAGTAGGAAGGTTTAACAACTCAGGAGTGTCAGGTGTAGAGGAGGAAGGTTTAGGTGTCAGGTGTACCCAACTCGTGTGTCAGGTGTGAGAGAGGAAGGTTTAACTCGTGTGTCAGGTGTGGAGGAGGGTGTGTGTCAGGTGTGGAGGAAGGCAACAACACGTGTCAGGTGTTTGAGTAGGAAGGCAACAACTCACGTGTCAGGTGTGGAGGAGGAAGGTTTAACAACTTCACGTGTGTCAGGTGTGTGAAGGAAGGTTTACCAAACTCACAGTGTCAGGTGTGGAGTAGAAAGGTTTACAAACACAGAGTGTCAAGAGTGGAGAGAGGAACAGCAAGCTTACGTGTGTCCAGGTGTGGGGGGAAGGTTTACCAACTCGTGTCAGGTGTGTGGAGTAGGAAGGTTTAACAACTCACGTGTGTCAGGTGTGGAGGAAAAGGTTTAACAACTCACGTGTGTCAGGTGTGGAGGAGGAAAGTTTAACAACTCATGTGTGTCAGGTGTGTGGAAGAGGAAGGCAACAACACATGTGTCAGGTGTGGAGTAGGAAGGCTTAACAACTCACGTGTGTCAGGTGTGGTGGAAGAAGGTTTAACAACTCACGTGTGTCAGGTGTGGAGGAGGAAGGCTTAACAACACACGTGTGTCAGGTGTGGAGTAGGAAGGTTTAACAACTCACGTGTGTCAGGTGTGGAGTAGGAAGGTTTAACAGCTCACGTGTGTCAGGTGTGGAGGAGGAAGGTTTACCAACTCACGTGTGTCAGGTGTGGAGGAGGCAGGTCTAACAACTCACGTGTGTCAGGTGTGGAGGAGGAAGATGTGTCAGTTGCTGCCGGCGTTGAGTTCCAAGCAAAACACCAACAGCGCCACCAAGTGTCCAGCTATCAGGACCACCAACATCCCCTGTGTGACACAAATGATTAGTACGCACCCACACACACACAGTTACAGTATATATATCGGGATAGATAGACATAGTGAGGTATAACGAGATAAAATAAATGAGGTCATTAGCCACAGTGAAGTAGTTTAATATCATTGGGTAATTAGCGTTAATGTAGACAGATAGATCGGGATAGAATTAATGAGGTCGTCACCATAGTGAAGATTGTTAGTAATAACGGGGTAGTTACCCAGAAGCTGTCGAGGGCGAGAGGCTCCCGGACGGTAATTTTGGACGGCGAGTGACGACAGTTATGGTAGACGGGTAGACTCTTGTCCAGCCAGTAAGGGTACAGCCCGGCCTCCACCACGCTTCTGATCCTGCAACAGTGTCTCTGTTATCTCTCACCTGTTGTCCTGTTATCTCAGTCCCATTAACCTCATATCTGTTGTGTCCGCCCCGTTGTTATATATACTGTAGTTAGCTCAGCCCAAGTGGTACACTACTTACAGTGTAGCAGCAACAGGTGGTTCATTATTTACAGTGTAACAGTAACAGGTGGTTCACTACTTACAGTGTTGCAGTACCAGGTGGTTCACTACTTAGTGTTGCAGTAACAGGTGGTTCACTATTTACAGTGTTGCAGTAACAGGTGGTTCACTACTTAGTGTTGCAGTAACAGGTGGTTCACTATTTACAGTGTTGCAGTAACAGGTGGTTCACTACTTACAGTGAACCAGTAACAGGTGGTTCACTACTTACAGTGTAACAGTAACAGGTGGTTCACTACTTACAGTGTAACAGTAACAGGTGGTTCACTACTTGCAGTGTAGCAGCAACAGGTGGTTCACTACTTACAGTGTACCAGTAACAGGTGGTTCACTACTTACAGTGTAACAGTAACAGGTGGTTCACTACTTACAGTGCAACAGTAACAGGTGGTTCACTACTTGCAGTGTAACAGTAACAGGTGGTTCACTACTTACAGTGTAACAGTAACAGGTGGTTCACTACTTACAGTGTAACGGTAACAGGTGGTTCACTACTTACAGTGTAACAGTAACAGGTGGTTCACTACTTACAGTGTAGCAGTAACAGGTAGTTCACTACTTATAGTGTAGGAGTAACAGGTGGTTCACTACTTACAGTGTAACAGTAACAGGTGGTTCACTATTTACAGTGTAGCAGCAACAGGTGGCTCACTACTTACAGTGTAACAGTAACAGGTGGTTCATTACTTACAGTGTAACAGTAACAGGTGGTTCACTACTTACAGGGTAGCAGTAACAGGTGATTCACTACTTACAGTGTACCAGTAACAGGTGGTTCACTACTTACAGTGTAACAGTAACAGGTGGTTCACTACTTACAGTGTAACAGCAACAGGTGGTTCACTACTTACAGTGTAGCAGCACCAGCTTACCTACGACTGAGAGCAGCCACTATAGGGTTACCCTTCTGGCCGATGAGACAGTGTTGGGTCATGAAGAAGGTTTGTCGCCCCTTGTAGAAGTCACACCTCCCTAGACACACACCCAACTGATTAATGGTTGGTTACATTTGTGTGTGTGTGTGTGTGTGTGTATGTTCGCATATCTAATATATGTATTATGTTTAATAAAGTTTAACTCTTACTGGTTGTAGCGAAACCTCTGTCGATGTGGCTGTTGATAGTGAGGGTGGTGGCTATTTGGACGTGGTCTCCTCGCTGCACAAGTGGCTCCACCTCTTTCTTAAATAATGCAGGGTTCTTGTACTTGATCCGACCAGAATACTTAAGGTCGTTCAGCTCCTTTAGCTCCCCAGTCTTTATTTTCTGCCAGTAGTAAGAAACACTTGTTAGTACGGTAAAGGAACATATTTGGTAAACATTGAGGAAGGATCGTTTTAGTTGGTATTTCGGTTTATAGTAGTGGCAAGGACCTGAGAATAAAATGAAATACTAGAAAAATATCAAAGTTTCAGTTCATTTTGTATCATTCGTATATTAATCTTTCAGTATGCGTCTTACTATTTTATATAACGACACCGCAGTTATGCAACAGTTAAAATGTGTGTGTTAAGAGAAGACAAACTTACAGTGAGGGTGACAGGTACGATGGTGTTCACTCCCTCTAGCACCACCGTGATGTGGGTAGCGTCCAACATGTCCCTTATGGTCTGCAGGGGCTGCGGCACGTGACGCACCGCCAGCAGTGACACCAAAGTCCCACTGTAGCTACACGTCACCACCACCGACACCACCACCCATCCACCCATTAACACCATCTCCCGCCCACGTGTCATGTTCATACTCACATCTGTTAAAAGTGGAGGTGACACTGACCAACACTGTCACAAAACACTAAGAATAAGTCAACATGCACTTAAGTCAGGTGAGTCGAAGATAATGCCGATAAACTAAAGCCTCTTATTTCTTTAACTATCGTCACAGGCAACAAAATGCTGTATTGGTAAACAAAGTACGGTGTAATGTCTATTTGGGGATGTGGATAAAAACGCTCATTTCCCTCACTAACCTGACGTTGTTCACAGCAGTTTTGAGGGACAACACCATAATGGATATTCTTGTTTTTATCAGAGACACTGTAGTTAAGTTGACGAGAACTACACTACACTATCATCTACACTACATCCGCTACACTATCATCAATAGTACATCCTCTCCACTTAAATAACACAACCTTAGAGGTGTTCAGTGATCTGAACCAGCTACAGACATGCTGGATCGGTCCTAATGAGACTCAGTATCTGAATAAAGTGTTTCTACTGACCTTGACGCAGAATGATTCTGAGGTGTTGGAAGAGTAAGTGTGAGGCCCGCATGAAGTGTGAGGCACTTGTTAGTTGTGATGAGCCCTTGGGGTTGTGGCCCATGACCACTAGAGACAACCAGGCCACCACCAGCCCGACCAGCAGTGCCACCCACACCGGAGGCTGCAGGGGTAACATGAAGCTCCAGGGGTCTATCTCTGGGCGACCTTTCCCAGCGATGATAGTTCGTCCGTCAAAAAAGAATGACTGAGTGTAGTCTACAGCTTGCCTCCTCTCCACCGACTGTGCAAATGGTCCCAGTGCGATGTCCGCCTCCTGCACAACACGGAAACATGATAACTGAAAGCATCACTACAACAATATTAATACTATTACCGACAATGGTCTTCATATATTGGATGACCAGTTAGTATGTTCGGGTTACATAAGAACATAAGAAAGTGGGATACTGCAGGGGGCCGACTGGCCCATACAGGGCAGATCCCTTTCACACCCATCCCAGCACTTCCATGTGCCTATCCAACTTCGTCTTGAAGCTCCCTAGCGTCCCCGATCCTACTATAGCACTCGGTAGCCTATTCCACATATCCACAACTCTATTACCAAACCAGTGCTTGCCTATATCCTTTCTGAATCGGAATTTATCTAATTTAAAGCCATTTGTTCTAGTTATTTCGTTATTACTGAGCTTCAGAACATCTTCCATTTTACCCTTGTTAATCCCACTTACCCACTTGTACACCTCTATCATATCTCCCTAACTCTACGCCTCTCTAATGAATGTAAGCCTAAGCTTTTCAGTCTTTCTTCATATGGAAGGTTTCTAATATTATGGATCATTTTTGTCATTCTTCTTTGTACTCTCTCCAAAGAATCTATGTCCATTCTATAATAAGGACACCAGAACTGAACCGCATAATCCATGTGTGGCCTCACTAATGCTAGGTAAAGTTTCAAGATAACGTCAGCAGTTCTGTTACTCACAGACCTAGATATGAACCCAAGAATCCTGTTTGCCTTGTTGCGAACGCTAATACATTGTTTTCTAGGTTTCAAGTCGTTGCTAACAAATACACCTAGATCTTTTTCACAAACTGAGTTTTCTATTTCCGTGTTACCTAGTTTATACTTAACGTTTGTATTCGTCTTCCCTATCTGTAGTACCTTGCATTTATCAGTATTAAAATTCATTTGCCAGTCTACTGACCACTCATGTAAGGTATCTAGATCTCTTTGAAGGTTCAAAGTCACTGTCTGAATTTATCACTCTCCCCATTTTGGTATCATCTGCAAATTTACTAATCCTACTAGTTATGCCTAAATCAAGATCATTAATGAATATAACAAACAGCAGAGGGCCTAATACAGATCCCTGGGGAACTCCGCTTTTGACCGCACCCCAGTCTGACTTTAATCCATTTATGCTGACTCTTTGTTTCCTACCAGTTAACCATGACCTAATCCATTTTAATACTGATCCACCTATTCCATGTGCTTCTACCTTCCTTATCAATCTCTCATGAGGGACTCTATCGAATGCTTTACTGAAATCTAAATAAATTATATCATATGACTTATCATTATCTACCGCTTCAAATACTTCTGAGAAAAAGCTAAGCAAATTTGTGAGACAAGAACGTCCCTGGGTGAACCCGTGCTGAGAAAGAATGAATTAAGTTGAATGTTTCAAGGTGGCTTCTGATTTTGTAGCAATAATTGACTCTAGCAACTTGCCTATGATTGACGTGAGACTAATGGGACGGTAATTTGATGCTATTGATTTATCACCCTTTTGAAAATCGGAACTACATTTGCAAGTTTCAAGCTTCTGGCACTAGGCCCGATTTTAATGACTTATTAAATAAAACTGCTAATGGATTACTCAACTCATCTCTACATTCTTTTAATATTCTAGCATATACCTCGTCTGGACCAGGCGATTTATGAGGCTTCAGTTTGTTAATTACTTTAAGCACATCGTTACTAGTAATATTGATATTCATCAACATATTTTCTATACTGTCGTTATATACCTTATGAACTTCTGGAAACTGTGCTTGGTTTTCATTTGTGAATACGGAGCGAAAAATGACTATTTAACGTACTACACATTTCTAACTCATCATCAGTCATTTCTCCTGTCGTAGTTTTAAGGGGACCTATTGTATCTCTAACCTTTGATTTATACAGTTGATAAAAAGCTTTGGGGTTATTTTTCGATTCGTTTGCTACCTTGATTTCATAATTTCTCTTTGCTTTCCTAATTTCTGTTTTTACCTGTCTTGTTAGGTTCTGATAGTAACCAAGTAAGTGATTTTCGCCTTTCTTAACTTTCTATATACTCCTTTCTTTTTCCCTAGAAGATCTAAGAGTCTATTATTCATCCATTTTGGTTGGTTCCGTATCGATCTGAATTTTCTTTTAGGGATGTGTTTATTTTGGGCATTATTGATTGTCGCAATAAATTGTTCATAAGTAGCTGCTAAATTAAATTCGGGGTTATCCCGTCCTAAGTTGACAGTTTCCGGAGGTGTGGGGGGATTAATCTTTTGACCATAGGGTCATCCCTTAGGTCTCTCCTTATGCTACCGTAATTAGCCTTCCTAAAATCCGGGATCAAGGCCGAATTTTCCTTCTTCCTGCCATCCCATATTATGTTAAAATATATGGCTTTATGATCACTGTTTCCTAGTTCGTCTCCAATCCCAACATCTTTTACTAGATTTTCATTATTACTGAGAACTAAATCGAGGATATTATTTCCTCTAGTGGGCGAGTTTATGAATTGATATAAAAAACTATCTTGTACTACTTCTAGAAAATCTTCAGATTCATTATCGCTAAGTTGATTTTTCCAATCTATGCCTGAAAAGTTGAAATCGCCTAGAATACATACATTGTTTCTATCAGATGCCTTCTTTATTTCCTCCCATAGCAATTTACCATCGTTCCTACTCAAATTAGGTGGTCTATATATAACACCAATGACTACGGATTCACTGCCCTCACCAATCTCTACCCAAATACTTTCATTGTCGCTATTTGTTTTAATGTTTGATTTATTGCAGCTTTTTAATGACACCCTGATATACACTGCTACACCGCCACCTCTCCTTCCTACTCTGTCAAATTTAAATAGGTTATATCCTGGAATATGAAATTCTGCAAAAAAATGCTTGCTGTTTGAATTTAGCCATGTTTCCGTTATTGCAATTATATCTATGTTCTCTTTACTAACAATGGCCCTGAGCTGGTCCATTTTGTCACACAGGCTTCTACTATTAGTATAATAAACACTCAATATATTTCTTCCGTTTCTATCTGTTTTACATTTATTACTTTGATGTTTGTTATTATGACTAACTATATTTTCAGCATTATCTACTTCTGTTTCACTACTTCCCAGGACCTCCTTGTTTTTTGACTCCCATTTTCCCCGACCCCTCTCTACTGGCGAAACCCCCCCTTCGGAGTGACAATTTCACGCTCCAGGGATGCAGACAACGTCTTTACCCCCTCACGAGACAAGTGGTTAACTGAGCCTTCAGGTCCACTTTCTATAAGGTTAATTTTTGGAAGAGGTTCTGATTTGGAGAAAGGAGGGAGATCATTGTTAGGACAGTGTGGTGATTAGTGACTTGTGTAACGCCGTACTCGGAAAAAATAGCACCAAAAAAAGTGGCACCGAAAATAGGGCACAGAAAAATAGGGCAGTGGAAAAATGGCACTGGAAAAAACGGCACAATTTTCATACTAGGAAAAAACGGGCACAACACATTTCACTGCGACCCTTACGAACCACAAACGACCTCGGCAATTGCATGATGATGACCAGGTCCAAGCAGTACATCTGCGTCGCATCCCTCCACGGTACCCCCAGAAATGTGGAACGTTCATGAAGTAACTCTCAAGTATAAATCACGCACGGATAACATTTGTGAGGGGTGGAACAACCGATACAGCAGGTTGGTTGGGCATCATCATCGACAGCCATTGTTAGTCTATGCATAATGGTTTATTAAATCCTGAAGATTTTTCCGTAACTTAATTGATGGTATAGATGTGATCAGTTGTGGAGTATCTTGGCTGGTTGGAGTAATTACTTTTGTAAAGAGCTCGTAAACTACAGAGAGCAGGCTTATTGGTCGATAGTTTTTTAAATCTTTGTTGTATTCTTCCAGGCTTTTGGAACAGTGTGGGTCTGTAAACATTTTTGTAAAGAGTTTGACGAGTTTACCTAATACAAAATCTCCCGCATCTTTGATCAAGTCAGTGGTTAAACCATCTTTTCCTCCTACTTTGCCCTTACTCATAAGCTTTCTTTACTTTTTACTTCCTCTACTTCGAGGTTGGTTGCCACAGCCACCCAACTATCTGACCATGCTATTGTATCATGTCACATTATCAAAGAATCTCTTGGTGAGCCACCCAGGAAGCGCCAAAAACGTGTTTACAAGAACCTCCAGAAAAGGCTGAAGACCCTCTGCCAGGACCGCCAAGCTGGACGCAATTCATTCCAAGAGTTTTTGCAAGGCGCTGGCTATAGCATTCGTTGGAAATCTTAAATAATAATATGCAATGTGACATTTTATATTTTTTATTAATTTCTGTACGAGTTTTCACTAACATACGGTAGGATGTTTTAGTTAAAGGTAATAAATGTTTTATGTTATGACGTTGATATAACTCTAAGTAAGTTTCAGTAACAACCATTATCAAATTTAAGCGAAAACATGTCATAAAAATTAATGCGCCATATTTTCCTAGTCTGATGATTATGGCTTTTTTTTCCGCTGCCACATTTTCCTAATGTCATTTTCTCCTGTGCTATTTTTTCCCACATTCGTGTAACGCCGCGACCCAGCCGACCCGAACATCCCCTCCCCACACGCTGCTGCTTCCGGCAAAGTAGCAATATTCTCGGCTCTCGAAACAATTTCTTTAAAGATCTTGAACTTTTGTTAAAACTATTGCCGTATTCTGCTTATAAATATGTTCTGTTTCAACCGTGAAAATTTTGTGGCAACTACTTAAAAGTGGTGGGTGCTGCCTGCCGCAGGGTAACCTGTAATGATTGGCCTGTGACTAGTTAATACTGGTGGGTGCTGCTTGCTGCGGGGTGACCTGTAATGTTGACCTGCAACTAGTTAATACTGGTGGGTACTACCTGCCTGAAGGTGACCTGTAATGTTGACATTGTAACTAGTTAATAGTGGTGGGTACTACCTGTGACAGGGTGACCTGAAATATTGACCTGTAACTAATCAATACTGTTGGGTACTACCTGTGACGGGGAGACCTGTAATGTTGACCTGTAACTAGTTAATACTGGTGGGTACTACCTGTGACAGGGTGACCTGTATTGTTGACCTGTAACTAGTTAATACTGGTGGGTACTACCAGTCACGGGGTAACCTGTATTGTTGACCTGTAACTAATCAACACTGGTGGGTACTACCTGTGACAGGGTGACCTGTAATGTTGACCTGTAACTAATTAACACTGGTGGGTACTACCTGTGACAGGGTGACCTGTAATGTTGACCTGTAACTAATCAACACTGGTGGGTACTACCTGTGACAGGGTGACCTGTAATGTTGACCTGTAACTAATCAACACTGGTGGGTACTACCTGTGACAGGGTGACCTGTAATGTTGACCTATATCCTTCACGTTTATCCAGTGTTGTTCTTAAAGCTTTGTTGCAGTTAATAGTAACACAACTAATAAACAACAAATTGTTCAAACTACTGGACAAATGTTCACTAACAACATGTAATAAAACATATCTTTAACAGACTAATATAACACAAGATGAAGACAATGTCACTTACCTGTCTAAACACTTGTCCCACCATTCCTGTCCAGTTGCCATCAGGGAGCTTTCTTCCCCAGGCTTGGTCCTCAGGTGTTACCAAACTGTACCTGCAGTAGATCACAGTTACTGTCTACACCTGTGATACTAGGCAGTTACTGTTAACACCTGTGTTAATAGAGAGTTACTGTCTACACCTGTGTTAATAGACAGTTACTGTCTACACCTGTGTTAATAGACAGTTACTGTCTACACTTGTGATACTAGACAGTTACTGTCTACACCTGTGATACTAGGCAGTTACTGTTAACACCTGTGTTAATAGACAGTTACTGTCTACACCTGTGTTAATAGACAGTTACTGTCTACACCTGTGATACTAGGCAGTTACTGTTAACACCTGTGTTAATAGACAGTTACTGTCTACACTTGTGATACTAGACAGTTACTGTCTACACCTGTGTTAATAGACAGTTACTGTCTACACCTGTGATACTAGGCAGTTACTGTTAACACCTGTGTTAATAGACAGTTACTGTCTACACTTGTGATACTAGACAGTTACTGTCTACACCTGTGTTAATAGACAGTTACCGTCAACACCTGAAATACTAGAGAGCTACTGTCCACACATGTGTTAATAGACAGTTACTGTTTACACCTGTAATACTAGAGAGCTACTGTCCACACATGTTTAATAGACAGTTACCGTCTACATCTTTGATACTAGAGTTACTGTCAACACCTGCAATGACAGTTACTGTCAACACCTGTAATGACAATTACTGTCAACACCTGTGTTAATAGACAGTTACTGTCAACATTTATGTTAAAAGACAGTTACTGTCTACACCTGTGATACTAGACAGTTACTGTCAGTACTTGTAATGACAGTTACAGTCAACACCTGTAATACTAGAAACTTACTGTCAACACATGTGTTAATAGACAGTTACTGTCTACACCTGTGATACTAGACAGTTACTGCCAGTACATGTAATGACAGTTACTGTCAACACCTGTAATGACAATAACTGCCAACATCTGTGTTAATAGACGGTTACTGTCTACACCTTTGATACTAGAGTTATTGTCTACACCTTTGATACTAGAGTTACTGTCAACACCTGTAATGACAGTTACTGTTAACACCTGTAATGACAGTTACTGTCTACACCTGTGATACTAGGCAGTTATTGTCGGTACATCTAAAGACAGTTACTGTCAACACACGTGTTTATAGACAGTTACTGTCTACACCTGTGATACTAGACAGCTACAGTCAGTACATGTAATGACAGTTACTGTCAACACCTGTAATGCACATACAGTATACTGTTAAAACCCGAGTGTACACATCGTAAATTTTGTTCATCAAGAAATATAGAAACTTTTCTAAAAACCTTTCTAATATTTTTGGAAGCTTTACAGGACACAAAACCGGGACATTTACATGATGTCTTTCCATTGTTTACTAACAATCAAGCGCTTAGTATATAATATAAATGAAATTCATCACATTACAAATGTTTGATAAACCAAGAATAATGTTGTGATAGCAATAGTAATATAGAATGATACTGAACCAAACGTTAAAAAGTATTTAAGAAAATTAAAACAGAAATATAAACCAACACTAAACATCACGCAGGAAATATCTGGAGAACTTTGGCAGACATTATTTCTCTGTCGCTTCTTATCTCCCAAAATAAGGTCTTTGCCGAGAGCAATAATACCTTGTGGCTTCGAGGCTCACAGTCTGGGTCCAATGTTTCATAAAGTAACCAGTGCAGGTCCAGATAACTCAGTGTTCGGTTGTACCTTAACTCTTTCTACTACTATATGTTGTTTTAATATTTACGTATAATACATTACATCTTACTTAGTAATGAATGATGTTACGTTAGAGTTGTTGTATCAATATTTCTCGACGGTAGACGACAAAAACTTAAGTCTAAGAAAATGAAGCATAAGACAAACTCTCTCTCTCTCTCTCTCTGTGTGTGTGTGTGTGTTACTTACGTGAAGTTAAGTGAGGCAGCCACCATGTTCAGCAAGTTGGCCACAGGACCTTCAACGGTAAGATGACCGTCCGGAGACTTCACGAAATCCAAGTGAGGTTTCCATTCGACACCAGAGACGACCAGTGACACACTCTGTTTGAACCTGTACCATACACCATTATATCTACTGCATCATACACCATTATATCTACTGCATCATACACCATTATATCTACTGCACCATACGCCATTATATTTACTGCACCATACACCATTATATCTACTGCACCATACATCATTATATCTGCTGTACCATACACCATCATATGTCTCCTTTATATCTCAACCTGCACCATTGTGTTTCTCACTATAGACAATATTTTCCCGCGTTATTCACTAATATATGTTTCAATTATGCACCAGAATGTATTTTGTAACAACCAACATTAAGTCTACTGGATAAACTGAAGGTGTAGGTGGGTTACTTGAAGGTGGGTTACCTGAAGGAGGAGGTGGGTTACTTAAAGGTGGGTTACCTGAAGGTGGAGGTGGGTTACCTGAAGGTACTGGGGTTGGCTAGCAGGTCCTGGTAGACATCCGGGTCTTCTAATACTTCCTTCAGCGGGCGAGCCATCGTGTCTGTGGGTAATATTGTGTTAACTCCCGTCTGGTATCAGTGTGTTAACTCCCGTCTGGGAACAGTGTTAACTCCCGTCTGGTAACAGTGTGCTAACTCCCGTCTGGTAACAGTGTGTTAACGCCCGTTTGGTAACAGTGTGTTAACTCCCGTCTGGTAACAGTGTGTTCACTTCTATGAGAAACACAGTATTTCCACAGAGGACTGAACACAGTGTTACCATCGAGGACTAAACGCAATACTTGGACACGGACCACCAAGAAGAGGACCTTAACAGTGTTACCAGGGAAGAATAAACTCATCATCATCACTTTCACCACTGACATCACCACCACAACCAAAATCACCACCTAGGCCAGAACTATGATCACTACCATCACCAACACCATTATCATCATCACCGTCATCAGTTATGCATTTGCATATTTCATATGCAAATGCATATTTTGCGTGATTTCTATGATAAGTGCATATTACCTAGATAACTGCATATAAATGCATATTTTGGTAAAATATTCATCTGGCAGTATCTCTTTGTTGCCACTGAATGAGCACACGTGGTACTGGGAGGTGAGGTGAGGTGTGGTTAGGTGAAGTGAGGTGAGGTCACGTCGCTTTAATCTGTCGTTTCCACACCTGGTCATGACTCATTGGACTAGTGAGTTAGTCAGTCAGGAGCAGTGCTGCTGTGTGGAGCTACTCTCTTCTGCTGCTCGTGAAAATGCCGAAAGTACAAAGAAACCAAAATGAAGTGCTGAGATCATATGTAAAGGAATTTGATGCATTTACTACTGATGGAAGTGTACTGTTTTGTAAATATTGTGAAGCACAGTGACAGCGAGCAAGAAATTTCAAGTATATTGCTTAATAAACATTAACATTAGTTTATATCAACTATTTTGTTTCCGTATAACCTGCATTCTTGGTTTTATAAGTGGCATTTTTAGTGCATATAAATGCATATTTACCCTGTTTTAGTGCATATTTGCATGCATATTTCATGGTTTTTTAGTGCATAACTATCCGGGCCCTAGTCATCACTATTATCATGACTACCAACACAACTACCATCATCACGTCCATCTTGACTACCAACACAACTACCATCATCACGTCCATCTTGACTACCAACACCACCACCAAAACCACCAGTCGGCTCTATTCATCATCACTAACACCACTACAACCAATCCTACCACCATAACAAACACTACCCCCACCATCACCATTATCACTAGCACCACCTTTATCACCATCAATATCATTACTACCACCATCACCGAAACCAATACCACTACCAACACCATCACAGTTACTATCATCACTGTCAACATCACCACTATCACCACCACCACCACCACCACCCACCTGCTTGTGTTAGAGTCCTGACAGCTCGACCCTCCACCACCAACACCAACTGTACATATATGGGCGTGGCTGCCGCCTTCCCTCTATATATGCTACTTGGTTGAGTGGGAAAGGTGAGACAGAATGTGTCATGCGCCTCCTACGTCACTCCAGGTTGCTGGCTTCGTCTCTCAATCATTAACACAACGTAATGAATCATACAGTGAGACTCAGTGTAAAGTCTCTCTTAATGAACAAGTGGAGTGTTGGTTTTGTTGATTTAGGTGTACAAGTTGGGGGACTTATGAACGTAATGTGTTCTCTCAGGTCCTAAACCCACGACTGCAGCCATCAACCACAAACCTCTAACGGAGAAAATTAAACCATAATACCAAATAAGAAAACCTAATTTTCCGAAACTTTATATAAAAATGTACATTATTTTGAACTTATTGAGGAACTAACTCTCCTATATCTCCTTAATCTATGACCTGGCGATTTCTTATAAGATTTCTGTCTGTGAACAAGATTATTCATATAAGAATACCAGAACTATAGGAAAAGTCTGATTTATCTCTCCACAGGCTTAAGGGCTTCACTAGTATGCTTCAATCCTGATCAACATGTTCATCATCTGGATCAATACCTCAGTTTTCCCAACAATACAAGCGTGTGTACATTAATGTTAGTATTTCCACGTTTAAAAACACTCCAGAAAATCCCGTGTACTTAAAAACATCGTATCATTTCAGCAAAACAAAAGCAAAATTATTGCACTATAATGTACAGTTTCCTTCACTAGTGCGTTTACAGGGGTTCGTCATATAAACATTCAACAAATCATTATCTTTAAGATATTTGTTTTAATATTGTTTTGATTTCATTCCATAGTGTGTATACTATTGTGAGTTTCCTTCTGTCGAATGTAAACAAACACACGCCTGCCACACTGCACAAAACCTGACGACCCCCTGTTAACACATAAGTGAAGGGGACTGTACCTTACCCAATGACACATTTGGTCTCAGTGTTTCTAAGTTAATATGGCAGATGTCACCAAACATTACCAGGTGCTTTGACGCGTTAATTACCACACTGACACACACCAAAACCATCACGATACTGCGTGATGTGTCAATACCGCACTGACACACACCACAACCATCACCATGCTCAGTGGTGTGTCAACTACCACACTGTCTCACACCGTCACCTTAACCATCACGATGCTGCCTGGTGTGTCAACTACCACACTGACACATACCGCAACCATCACGATGCTGCCTGATGTGTGTCAACGACCACATTGACACTCACCACAACCCTTCACCATGCTGCCTGGTGTGTCAACTACCGCACTGACACACACCAAAACCATCACGATGCTGCGTGGTGTGTCAACTACCACACTGACACACACCACAACCATCACGATGCTGCCTGGTGTGTCAACTACCACACTGACACATACCAAAACCATCACCATACTGCCTGGTGTGTCAACTTCCACACTGACACACACCACAACCATCACCATGCTGCCTGGTGTGTCAACTACCACACTGACACACCACAACCGTCAACATACTCCCTGGAGTGTTAACGAGAGCTTCCCGGCCACACTTACTCCCTGGAGTGTAAACGAGAGCTTCACGGCCACACTTACTCCCTGGAGTGTTAACGCGAGTTTCCTGGCCACACTTATCCATAGAATATTCGCCCTATGCTATAAGAGTACATTAACCCCCTGCACGAGGTGGGTACTAAATGAAGTGATGTGTTTAAGTATATTTCCTATTCTACCGGATCCTAAAATACTTCCCTTTGGAGATATTATTTATATTTTCCCAAGAAAGAGGTAATATCTCTACAATACGTGATGATGGCTGTCCTGAGTCAACATACAGGGTGAAGGAGTCTGAGATTCTTCCTAGTACCCCCAAAACCTCACTCCTTAGAGGACAGGCGCCTCGGTTGCTTTTTCTGAGAGGAGACCTCCTCAGTCTTTCACGCTTAAAGAGTTATTGACTGTGACAACCTTAGAAAAGTCGTCTAATGTCTCCCACCTTCATTAAACGAAGGAAGAGAAAAAACTTCTGTGTCACGGGAAGGGACAGGAGCAGGTGAAGGGACGAACTCATGATGGGATCTAACACCCGAACCAACTGTGAACTCAGAATTATCTCAACTCCTAGGAACGCTGACAAGGAATCAAGGTTTCAGAATTATGTTCCACCTATGGTGAAACCACAAGTTCTAAACCCTTAGAAACCCGGATAATTATATCCCAAGGTATACATAGAGCTTATACTTGTTTACTCTATTCAGTCATTATGGAAAATTTCAGTTTCTTTAGAAAATGTCGAGGATTACTCTCCACTACACAAAACGTATTCAAGCGTCTTATCACAGGATCCACATTGTCTCGGGTCAAAGTAACTAATAAAGACGCAACTTCCATGAAAGGAACATTTGATGTGACAGTGATCATTATAACGGTCGTTTATATGTTCGGCCGCCGTGATTTACTTTAGCCTAAAATAAACAATTTCAACCTTTACGGTTTATAGTCTTTACCGTTAATGTTTTCTCCAGCCGTTATTTCTTCCGTAATAAGCTTAAATTTCCTGGCATTTCTTTAGTGACTTTCCTTTAGTATGTCTACATTACTTTTGTTTTCGTTGTTGAGATTCCTTGCAAGCTTCACCTCTCTCTACATTATTAATTTTCTTATACTAGATTTTACTGCTTAGCCAATAGGATCCTTCCTTCTATAATATCACTGCTTTAGTGTTCAGTTTCTTATTCCAACCTCGGACCTCTGTTTTCATCATTTGAAAAGAAAAAAAATAACGTCTTATTAATCTTGTAAATGTGACCGCAGCGTGAGACTGCAGGTGTTGAATAATTGGTTGAGGGAGGCGGTAGTCAGCGTAGCACCGGACAACTAATTACTTGGTTTAATGGAACTGTTAATATATGTAGTGTTGGTAATCAGTGAAGGTAGTGATTCCTACATTTCCAATCCCTCTTCCGAGAGAATAGTTTAAAGAATGAAGTAATAAATTAGTAGTTGGGAGCAAAGAAGCACGAGGCTGGTGCAGGTGAACACGTCAAGATAATTAACTAGAACTGGTCTTACCTAATATTAATGAAGGAGTTTACTTGTCCTCTCCTCTATCTCACACAGGTATACGCTCTTTGTAAACCTCAGAGCTTCCTTCTACACCAGCTGCACCACTGACCTGCCTGCAGTATATTATTCTATCACCGCTGTCACTAGGTACAGTACATGTAAACTGTCACCAGGTACATATAAACTGTCACCAGGTACATATAAACTGTTACCAGGTACATGTAAACTGTCCCAACCATTGTAAAAATTATCAATAACTTGTAATAAACCAGTGTATTCACTCCCAGTAAACACTACTCCTTGCACTGTCACTATGTTGAAATGAACTGTAGTTTGAGCTTTTCCCCATCTAGTTATTATATGTCTTATTTGTGTTACTTATGTTACTTGTATATTATTTGTAATTCGTAACCCATTCCCCAAATATGTAACTGTATATTTTCAGCCTTCTGGCTGCCAAGCTCTTTCAATAAACCGTTAATTATTATTATTATTATTATTATTAGGTACATGTAAACTGTCTCCAGGTACATGTAAACTGTCACTAGGTAATGTAAACTGTCACAAGGTGCATTGTAAACTGTCACCATGTACATGTAAGCTGTCACCAGGTACATGTAAACTGCTACCAAGTACATGTAATATAATGAGACAAAATCTCATATGAAGAGGTACACTTGTCTCGTGAGGGGGTAAAGACGTTGTCTGCATCCCTGGAGCGTGAAATTTTCACTCCAAAGGGGGGAGGGGTTTCGCCAGTAGAGAGAGGTCGGGGAAAGTGGGAGTCAAAAAACAAGCAGGTCCTGGGAAGTAAAATTAGTTACTCAGGACAAGGGGGAAAACAGGACCTGGGAAGGGTAGGTTTAAATGTATACAATACAAACAGTAGGAGCGTTAGAAACAAAATAGACTTGCTGAGAACGGTTGTATGTACCGAAAATGTAGACGTCATAGCAATCACCGAAACTTGGATGAATCTGGCGAGCAAAATTTTTTTATCAGAGTACCACATAGAAGGGTACAACCTTTTTCACAAGGACAGGGAAGGTAGGAAGGGGGGAGGGGTCGCACTCTTCGTCAAGGATACATTAAAATGTTGTATCAATAATTCAATAAAGGGTGAAATAGGAACCGAGTCTGTATGGGTAGAAATCACGGAAAGAAGAGAAAAACTAATTATGGGAGTGATTTACAGGCCCCCAAGTCTTGGGAAAGAAGCAGCTCAGCCTATATGGCAGGAAATGAGTAGGGCAGCAAAATATAAGAACCTATGCATTATGGGGGATTTCAACTTCAGAAATATTGAGTGGGACAACATTGTAGGTGACTATGAATTTGAAGACTTCCTAGACGCAGTACAGGACAATTTTTTGAAACAACTAATTACAGAACCTACTAGAGGTGACAATATATTAGACCTAGTATTAGCAAATAAAGAAAATATTATCAGAGATATCACAGTAGGGGAAGAACTAGGTAACAGTGATCAGAGAGAAATCAGGTTCACCCTAAATTGGGAAACAAAAAACAATGACAATATGGTCAGTCCCAAACTTTCGGTTGGCGGATTATCAGGGGTTAAGAAGGTACCTAGGTGAGGTCACCTGGGAACAGTCACGTCAGTCCCCAGTAGGAAGGGGTGAGGTCATAGATGACACAACAATTGATCATGACTATAATATATTCACTAGTATACTACATAAAGCACAAGAACAAAATATACCATACAGAAAAATTTGGTCAAATAAGAATGAGCCAAGGTGGATGACCAGAAAACTTAAACATGACATAAGAATAAAGAAAGGAATATATAAGAAATTAAAGGGAGGGGAGGAGCAGCTCAGAAATAGGTATAATGAACTATCTAGGAATGTTAAGAAAAATATAAGGAAAGCAAAGAGAGACTGTGAAATCAAAATAGCAAGAGAA